AAACTTGTATCATAAAAAAAAATCTTTAAATTATAGTTTCTCTTTTCTGGTCCAATTTAAATTGTTACACAGTTGCTAAATTAGTGCTGTAATCCCTGCTTACAAATTGCAGAATTATTTTTAAAAATAGATGTATTTTTACTGCAGGGAACAACCTTACACTTTAAACCCTATGTGCTGCAGGAAGCTGCTCTTGCACAGCTTTCAACCAACCACATTCACGTGCACACAGAGTGAGGTTTACAATACCAGTCACATTGAATCCAATAGCAGTCTCACCGGAGATTTCAATGAGCACAAATTGAGTTAACACTGACATTTTAGAATGATTAGCAAATTTAAGCCTTCCCAAGATGCTCCATGACACCAGTGGCTCTCGTTGTACCATTTCTTAAAACATCAGCATTTCTCTTGTGTTCTGTTCTGAACCATCTTCTCCTACTGAACTACAGCCACTGATAGGCCAGGAAGTTAGAAGATTTTAAGAGGAAAAAACCCCTCAAAGATATACCTTTTTCTGCTCACAAAACAAGTAACTGGGGAGGGGGGAGTGGGGGGGAAAGGTGGAGCACTATGATCCCAAGTTCAAAGCTGGGGAACAGCAATAACCAGGGCAAGACTCCCATGCATAATTCTTGTTCCTTCAAGCACTTCCACAGCTTCAATACTATGGAAAGATGAACTTCACCTGCAAAAAATCCTTTTAAGTGATTTTTGGGGATGTGTTCAAGATATTGTCCTCAATATCTCACAGCACTCAGCAGAAATAGGAAACCTCAATTCCTGGGTCTCCACAGGGCCCTGCAGAGCATACCCACCATCTGCCCTGATCTAGCTTGACTGAAATGAGAGTTTCGTTCTTCTCCTTCAATCAATCCTTCATCATTTCTAGCCCACCACTTCTCTGAAGTCTTTCATCTGACCCTGGCAATTTCTGCTATTTCCCCTTCCCAATCCCACTATGGTCCTCTCCTCAGGTGGGTCACATTGACCTGGACACAACAGAAGAAACCCTGAGAGGCCAAGAGCATCAGCAAGATCTTGCTGCTTTCTGCATTAACTGTAGGAGCTCAGCCCCTCCCAGCCCTCACCTCAGAGTGCACATCTCCAGCTGCCAACCACCAGACTGTCAGGAGAGGGGATAAAGAATGGAGGAAAATTTCCCCATCCTGGAGAAAGTTATCTGGACATCAAAGAACACCCCATTCACAAAACAGCAGCATGACTCTTGCCAGATTGGTGTGTCTGGTTAACCTTGTGCTCAGTCCTTACGATAACACGGTATTTGGACAGCAGACAGCTGGCACTGCTCAACATCTTGCTCTTCAGTCTTTTATAACAACAGTTCCACTGACATTATGCTTAGCCTTTTCCCTGCTCTCAGTCCAGTGTTAAAATCTCTTCAACTACATAGAGGAAGTAAACCAAATGTTCTTTTGTCAGTAATTTGCCCTGTAAGGGAGGGGGGAAATATCCTGATAACATACTGCAGACACGGCGTTCATCACGTGCACAGCAGTGCACTGGTTACACTGGAAATTCTATCATGGTATTTCAAATGTTAACTTGACTGTCATCGTGACTGGGAAACATCTGTCTCCTATTAACACTTTAGTTTTTACAGTTGCTTTTAGTTCAGCAGAAGTGTCTTAATGGAGAAGACTGGTACTCTTTTAGAAATAACATCAATAATGAAAGAATCATTGGATGCAGAGCAAATCCAGCAAACACATTGGCAACAGAACTCACTGCACTCAGAAGATGTAACAGGAAATGATACTGATGGGCTTTTGGGTGGGAGGATTTTTGTGTGAAAGAATTAACTCTGGTACTTAAATTCCCATTAAGAAAAATATTTCTTTTCAAACAGGTGATTGATTTCCTTAGACATTAATTCAGACTTTTGGGGAATTTCATCTTAATTGGATCACTGATAAATAAAACCAGAAACAAAAACAACAAAGAAAACCCCTTCTGCAGGCTATTTAGGCTTGGTACTGACTAACCAGTAATTAAACACAGCTCTTCACAGAAATCTTAATTATGGCTTCACTACACCACAGCTAAGAAGAGTCACACAACAAACTGAGAAGATTAGCCAATTCTAATTGTTTCAAAACATTTATTTTTATTTTTGTGCATAGTTTTTGTGTGCATAAGGCCACAAGTCACACCACTGAATTATTAAAAAATAATCAAAGGCTTCAATTTATATATCCCAACTAGGCCAGTGTTATTAGGCAAGTATTCGTTTATTTTCTTTATATAAATTAAGCCTCTATGAATTGCATAAGAGGTCAAGAGTTTTCAACTTGGGAAAACAGGGATGTGTGCTAGAAATCAGTGTGAATTAGGTAGACCAGAAACAAATTTCACTGAATTACTCACACTTACACCAGCTGAGAATCCTGTTTTCTCAGCTGGCCACTGCCATGAATTAGCTGTGCAGTCACATCTGCTGCACCTTCCATGGGAATTCAGGTCCAGAGGAATCCAAAACAAGGTACTTCAGTCCTACTGAGTTTCTACAGATCTAGCATTCCTAGCATCCAAGCAATTTTCTGATACAGGGACTTTGGGAAACAAAAAATACCCACCCACCCTCAGAAACCAAACACTAAAAAATCCCCCAAAACCAATCAACCAACCAACCAAAAAGAAAGGGGGAAAAAGCCCCAAACCAAAACAAAAATAATCAGAGGACACAATTCAGCAGAATGTGGCTAGACAGGCTAGATTTTAAGCAGGTCATTAACTCTCAGAGTTGAGGATAACTGCATCAAACATCTAAAGGCATCTAAAGGCAAAAGCAGCCAGACTGCACCTCATCAATTTAAGGGTCTCATTCATCTGCAAGAACAACTTGCAAGCCTAGCTGAAAGCCTCAGTGTACTTAGGCATTCATTATCCTACTGAAGCCAATGCAGGCTTCATTCCACTGAAAAATCAATGAGACATATGCTCTAGGACACAAATTCCTCAGGCCTAAAGCCAGAGGATGGCAGGAGCCTAGATCCCTTGTAGATCTGGCTTTCAACACAGCCGAGTCCTGAGCTTTCTGAAAGACACTGAGACATAGGCTCCCAACACTTGTTTCTTCCACATTTAAGAGTTTAAAATGTGCTTGGGTTTTTTGTTTGTTTTTTTTTTTTTTTTTTTTACTCCATCAGACTGCCAGCTTCCTGCTTCCCATTTTTCACTTACAGTTCCAGCTGCCCAGCTACATATGTAGCCCCACCAGCATTGTCATCCTTTCCCCTGCATGTGCAGCAGCAGATGGATCCAGACGTGTTTTGGGTTAACTCCATAACCATGTTTTTGTGGACTGCATGGATAAACATTTAAAGGCCCCTTCTGGTTATATAAAAGGAAGCTATTAAACGTTTACTCTTTCCTCTGTACTCAGAGCTGCAAAGCCGTATCACAGAACATACAAACGCAGATGCAACCAGGCAATTATCGTTCCTTTATCCCTTAAATAGATAGAAGATAAATTTAAAAGAAAATGAGGAACAGAATCCTTCTCCCTTTCCTTTTTTATCCTTTTATCTCCCAATGTAGGAAGTTTACTGAACCCTTGCCAACAATTCACTCAGGCTAATGAAGTGTATAAGTAATGGGATTAAATAATCTTAAACCATTACTACAGTGGCTAATGCAGATGTTTTCCCAAACTAAAGCAGATGAGTGGTGTAGAATGCGTGCTTGATTTAAAAAAGAAGAAAAGAAAGTATCAATCTGCAAGCAGATGAAGTCAATTCCAGCCTGAAGTCAATGAAATGTTTAATTCTAGTTACATAAAGTTGCTCCAATTATATTATGAATGCACCTTCCTAAAGTCTTCAGTGCTTTGCACGTGGTTAAACTTGCCACAAAATGAAACTTAAATTTTTTATGGTGCAACCATTTTAGTGCAAACAAAAATAGAAATTATTTAAAAAGTACATATTCCACCAAAAGACCATTTAGCTTTTAAAATCAATTTAACAAGGCCCATCTATCACTGCCATTGTAGGTAAGACACAATCCTTCCTTTTAATATTCAGTATCTCCGTAATAATCTCACTGTGAAGGTTCTGTAGAAATAGAGAGAACAATGAAATATTGGTGGCATTTTCAGAAATATTATAGTATTATTGCTCTAATTATCACTGGAATGACAGAAATGTCATGAAAAACATCAATTTTTACTTTCAGAAGTGTAAATCCAATTATCCAGTGTTTGTAAGAACTCAAAACTGAAAGTTTAAAGAAAGATATGTCAGTGTTTTAAGAATGTTCCAGCACTTTTCTTACTCTAAGTTACAAGGATAATCCTTATATACTGGATGCTAAGGTCAGACCAGGGTAAAACCTCAGGCACATTACGGGATGTTTATTTAATTTGCACCTGTGCAACTGGTTCCAGCTACTTGTTATGGGAGTCTCTTAAAATGTGCAGCTCCTCAGAGCAACTGTTAATTGTTTGCTTTAAGACCTTGTTGCAGGCATGAAATGAAATTTTAGGGCAATGTAAGCTTCAAAAGATATCTAACCTAAAGACCCTTAGTTCAGTAGAAAATCTTCCATCAAGCAAGGCAAAAGTATTGATTTTAGAAGTTGTAGTGCTTTCTTGCATCCCACCTCCTTAATCTTATTGGGCACACAGTCTGTAACCATTTTGGTATCAGGTTTCTCAACACAGAAAGCAGAGAACCACACTACTGCTAAAAAATGACTGCATAGTCTGCTCCTTACAGAGATGAAACAATCACAAAACCCAGCTCTATTCCTGCTGTGTCCACTTCATTTCACAGGGAAGTCAGACCAGGAAATGTAATTCACCCAGTAAGCTAAAAAGACCAGAGCTCTTCTGAAGACCATGAAAAAACCTGTTGCTTAGGATACTGCCACAGGGTTGTCAGAATTTAACTGTAAGGCAACTCCACAGCAATGAAAGAAAGAAATGTTTCCCATGTCTGTGCATAAATATCAGGGCACAAAGAGGAATGGGTACTCACAATGTAGCAGGGTTCACAGTAGGCTTTCTTCTCCACGGCGTAGAAGGGCTGTCCCCTCAGCTTGGTGTTGCACATTATGCAGGTGAAACACTCCACGTGGAAGACTTGGTCCATGGCTGTGCAACCAGTGCCCTCTCCGACAACATTCTCCCCGCAGCGGGCACAGCGTCCTGTCACCAGAGGGAAAGGACAGCAGTCAGAGAGAGCCCCTCGTCCCAGCTGCACAGGAGGTCCCTCCACTCTCCTGTGGCTGGTGAGGGGGACGTAGCAGCTCAGTCCACAGAAAAACAATTTGTGCTACTGCTGGCAAAGATCCAGTGCCACTGGAAGGCACTCTGGTGCCAGTCCCTATGAAAAGATCTAGAAAGGATTGACACCGGCTCCCAAGACAGCACTCATGCCAGTTGTGCTGCTGCAAGCCAGCAATCATTGTAAGGACCTTGAGCTTCAGATACAAACCACTCAGCTATCATCTAACCCAGCTATGTAGTCATCCTCAGCTCCTCAGTTAGATGGGATAGACCTGTGCCTTAAGCCTTGCTCCCACATGAAAGGATTTTGTCATAGGAGGCCTCATAAAGCTGTCTGGTGGCAGCACAATTTAAAGAGAAGTTTTTGCTTGTATAGCTTAAACCAATTCTCTCAATGGAGCCAACTACTTTTTATATTCTGTTCAAAGATTAATACACATTACGATATACTGTCTATTTAAAGCACAAAAGCTATTCCTAAAGAAACTGATGTGTGGATATTTTATTCTTACCACCCTTCAAGAAAGGTGTATCAGAAACAGCTGGTAAAGACTCTAAGTACAGACAAGCCTTAAGAGCTCTGTCTGTTTCTGAAAAAGGTCGTTAATGTCAGACACAAATGAATAACAAAAAGTCTGTAGACACACACGTACAAAAGGCTTGCTGCCTTGTTCAGATTGTTGCTAAAGATGCCATGTGGCAGATAGTTTTAAAGTGAAGACAAGATATCCTTAGTTCATGAGAAAAACATTTCCCTAGGGAAGACTGTGGTGCAGAGATGATGGAAGGGGTGGGTAGAAGGCACACCTTTGCCATTTTTCTCTGCCATTTGGGTTCTAGAAAATGGAGATAGCCCCTGAAGTTCTGATGTCCTTACACAACAATTGATATTGAAAATGGAAGGCATTAAGGACAAGGTCAGCTACACTACACAGGAGAACCCCACCAATGGTAATAGTGCAACTGTGATCTGGGGCATTGCCCCTCTCAAAATGGTACTCTCCAGTTTAAGAATAACTGTGGTGACCCCAGCCTTGGGACTCTGCACTTCTTGAAGGCTTCATGGGTGGAGTGGTGTGGTCAGCGAGGGTGGGAAGGAAAGCAAGAGCTGGGGTACAAGCAGGAAAGCTGAATTATTCATAAAGGCATATAGAAATAATATGCACCTGATAATAATTACCTAATCTGGTAAAGATACAACGCTCTCTCATACCATGGTCTGTTTATTGGCCTTTTCATGCAAATACTGCACAGCTTCTACAAATTAGAGCTGTCTTGTCATCTCAAGAGCAGGACTGCTGCCCTTCACTGTGCACTGACAATGTCCCCACATTCATTACTTCTTTCCTGCTTGTCCCACACTCCAACAAGCTACATTCAGGGAACAAAGCATGTAAGCTACTTTTGGATCCCTCAGGATGTGGCAGGATGATATATATACACATTTGAGATATATTAGGAAAGCTTGGAAAATAACCCAGATCATTACGATTTGCTACAATGGCATAACTGTAGTTGGCTTTATACAGGACAGACAGTTCCTGACTCAAACAGCTCCCAGCCTGAGCAATGTGGAGGGAGAACTCACCAGATGAATCCAGACAAGTCTGGAAATCCCCCAAATGGAATTAATAATGATGTATTTAAACTTAACTTTCCTTAGCATTTGTTATTAGGGTTTTGATTGTCACTCTTGTGCTTTAATCACTCCACTGTAACACTTCTAGAGAGGACTCCTTTTTTATTAGCAGAAAAGGAATTCAGGTTTCCCAGCATGGTAGTGAGGCTACAGAGCGTGGGGGAAGAATGGAAAAAACCATGAAGGCTAGGAAGAAAAAAACCCAAACCCATTGGAGAGAACCACAGGAGCGAGCACTGCACTGAGAAGGAGGCAGAAGACACCTCCTGTGTACCACAGGCGAGCCCTGCTGAGCCCTGGTGTGGACAGCACAGAGCTGCTCCAGGGCCTTCTCCAAACATCTCGTGTAGCTGGGCTGTAATACGAAGAGACGTCTGGGGAGCAGTTAATATCTCTATATATAAAACATGAAATTGAAAGCCATTAGTGTATTACTTTACACAGTGTTTTTCCAGAGGGAATATTCCGCTGAAGAATTTATTTTCCCTAGTGTGCCATTCTGTGATCATCCGGTATTATTTTTATGAGGCACTTGGACATGGAATAATGTAGTGTCTATGCAAACACTTCTCAGCTTTCTTTGTTAACATCTGAGCAGAACATGTGGGAATCTTTTCAACCCCTCCTTCTCTTCTCACATTCATAATTTAGCCAGCTCTTGTGTGCTTCAGCATTTATCTTCCTCGTTGACCAAGGCATCTCTCCATTTGCTGAAGAAGCTCTCTACATGGAGACCATACTTCTGGCTGCACTTGTGCCAGGAGACCTGGGTCTAACTCAAATACATACTCCTGTATTCTCTAACAAGTCACTCAAGTGTACAAGTGCAAAAAGTACAAGTGTCTTTGTACCTCTGTCTCCTCTTCGAGCAAAGGGCATAAAGACATCTTCTCTGCCTCCCAAAGGTACCCTGAGGCTACATTCCCCTATGGCTCTGAGGTATTCCCCAACTACACTGCTGGTGGTCAGATACAAACCAAAGAGTAGCACAACACGAGTCTTGGCCAACTTCTCCCCTTTAAGTTCATTTCCTGAGGCTTTCCTTTCTCTTTCTGGGTTTTTCCACAGAAGATTCCCACTGAGGCAGCAACAGACTTAACCTGTCTACATTTATGAGAAGTCCAGTTTCTGCTATTAAGTACACAGACAGAAATACTCCTACAAACTCTCACACAGGAAAGGTTAAAGAAAGCTTCCTTTTTTATAAGTTTATATGCAAATTATCACACTGTGGCCTTGAGCAAACCATGTTTTTCATGAGACATGGCCACTCCAGTGAGAATCAAAACACAAGCTCTGTGCCTAGCAACTCTCCCAACTGACTCACTCACCCAAAAGGTAAAAGTAAATAAGCCAAAATATTCAAATTTGGGAGCTAACAGTTGGGTGGCTGGATCCACTTAAAGGCACATGGGCAAATACACAACTGATCAGGCTTGCAGCAATGTTATCACTGGAAATTGCACCTTCTGCAAACCTTGATGCAATCTGGGAACTCACAAGACTTCTGCAAAAACCTTTCTCTTCTCCCAACTCCTGCAACTCACTCAAATGTAGTTGAAAATGGATATTAGTTTCAAGTGTTGGTGAAGGAGGAACTGACAAGCAGACAGGCACATGCACACAGGCAGTGTGATTGCACAAGCCTCATTTCCTTAGAAAACCAGAAAAACCCCACTAAAAACAATGTATCTATCATTATGTCTGATAAAAACAAAACAAAGGTCTGCTTTTCCTCTGTGCCAGTTACCAACGGCGAAGGTATTTGTGGTTGGGCTCACCACAATTAAGTGCCCACACATGTTCCCCATTTTAATATTTTCACACTGTCTCAAATAACGCAGTCTGTTGTGTGCAGAATACCCATGAGTGAACACAGAAGTTGCACTGCTTGTTGGGAAAGAAGTAGCAAAGGCAAAGTTTGCAAGACTCAAGAACAAACAGATTGCACAAAAAAGATTACACAAATAATCTAAGAGAAAAATAGCAGGCAGCGTATTACAGTAGAAACACAGAACAACGTGACCCATTTGCTTTCCACAAGCAGCATTTAAAAGGCAGCTTAAAGACAAAGGACAAAATTAGCACTAAACTGCATGAAGATGAGAAACTATGTCATTTCAACATTCTTCTTTTGCCCCTTAGGCTCTTTTTGGATCCTTTTTCAAGATCATTTCAGCAAAACTAGAAGGCAATATGTTGGCAGCAAGCCTGGGAGATCAGAGTCCTCTATTTTTGCATGAAAGAGGTACCTAACCTTGGCCGTGCTGTGACCTTCCTTCAGCCCAGCCTGGCTGCCACATGGTGGTCTTACCTTGGGGACATGTACAGAAGTGCCCACAGAGGCTTCCCTGCTGAAAATGCCAGTTAGTGAGTGGATTACACAGAAATACTTCAGCAGCTGAAAGGATACATCAGCTACTATACTTTAGTCTGAAACCTCCTCACTTACTGTCTTCTGCTGTGTAAAAAATCTGAACTATTGTGAATCTGAAGGAAGAGGGGGAAGGGAGAAGAGGAGCTCATATTACACACGATGCCATGTTCTAACTTCTTGTTATCTCATTACTCTCATTACATGGTTTTTACCTATACCACCACAGATCCTGGCTGCTCAGATTATAGAACAGATCCATTCTGCTAAGTACTGGGAAAACACAGAATTCAAAGAAGGGCCCAACTACAGGAGTTTACAACATAATAGAAGCAATAACAACCAGGTAGTGATAGGAAATAGAAAAAAACAATCAGACAAAACCAGTCAGCAAGGGAAGCTATGGTCTCAGCACTCTAAATGTTTTACTGTTGACAAGGAGTCTGTAGACAGCACAGCAAAGGAAAAGGTTAAGGAAGAATTTGAAAGAGGACCCGGAGGGAGTTTAAAGGAAGTTTAATGGAATGCTTCTGAAGAAAGGACAAAGACAACACAAAAGAGAATATAAGTGCTTGAAGGTTGAACACAGACAGCTTCAGATGGGAAGGATGAGTTGGTATGTCACTAGAGAATACTAGAGGAAGAAGGGTGGGAATAGGTCATTACAGGTCATGCAGGTAAAGACATGAAGTTTCTGTTTGATATGAGGCAGAAATGAAACCAGAGGAGAGATGTTTAGGAGTTGGATTCGATGATCCTTGTGGGCCCCTTCCGACTCAGGATATTCTATGACTCCATGACTAAGAGGCAAAAATTATCTGGCCTAAGTTAAAAGCCAGAGAGTTATTTCTGCAGCTAGTTGAGCATGAATAGAGAGAAACTGCATTTTTTGAAAAGGATGTTGAA